AGTGAAAATTAGGAATTCTACTCATTATTATTACTCATTATCTTTTATTTTTGTATTTTTATTCATTAATATAGATAGAGGGTTACATGTGTGGTAACAAACACACAATTTCTACCATTCTTTGGAAGCATGTACATTTTTTCGAGAACAATACTGCAAACCTCGAAGCTCTGTGGCCTACTATCAATACACTCTTTCTCTAGCTCAACCACAACACTAGAGTTTCCACTTTCACGTGACCACCATGCCATTAGAAATGTCATCACACATGTTTAGATGCACTGCCTTTCTTTGACGCGTGCGTTTTTGAGTAAACAATATTGTGCACAATGGTAGAGCTTTGTGAATATGATGAGATGATGTGAAAAATGATGATTATGTGAATATGATGAGATGATATGAAAAGTGATGACTATGTGAATATGATGAGATGATGTGAAAAGTGATAATGAGACATGATAATGTGATATGGGAATGAGAAATGATAATGAGATATGACAATGCATAGAGTCTTGAATGACATGCATCATTTGCATAAGTGTTTTAAGGGTACGATATGGAATACACCGCCAGAGAAGGCCCCCTAGTGTAAAAGCTTTGGGGATTAGTCCTTGGGGATAGCTCGGTTTGGAAGTCCCAGTCTCGCCCATTGTGTGCATGGGATGTATCTTGCGCGGCTTAGCTATCCCGACGAGACTCTGGTAGTATATCCTTCTAGTGAGAGTGCGCAGAGGGTGTGACCCGGCATGTACTCCTAGACTACTCTTCGTGTATTGCTAGCGGCAATATGCCATGTGATGTTTTACTGGCGCCACATGCATGATAATATGTAGTCCGTGTCCATGCATATGCATTCTTAATGTTATATGATAAAGTGATGGTTTATGTCTTGGATGAGTGTGATGTTATTATTAATTTATCTATGTTATACTTATTTTGTTTGTGTTTGGCTATTCGGCGTATATTTCTACACTGTGAGCCAGAGTGAGATGTTTCTCACTCCCTTTTCTCGTGTTGTTCTGTTTTGACTGTTATACAGGTGATCATTAGTGTGAGGCTGAGGATGTTGGTGATGAAGCTTAGGCTTCTATGTTGGGTTTTGCTCTGATAGGACATGTGACATCGGAACATAGATAGAATTAGTTTAAAGATGTTCTTATTAAATTATTTTAGAAAATTTAGTTTTATTTCTTTGTAATTTTATTAAATTATTTGGATTAAGTTTATGAATGTGAACTCTTTACCCTTACGTGGCTGGAAATTTGATTTTTAATGATGAATTTTTTTTTATATTTTTTTTATAATTACTGTATATGTATGTTGGGGTAGAGGGTGTCACATATAAAATTGTTAATAAAATATAAGTTCATTAAGATAATATACATAATATTTCAAAAAAAAACTTTTAAATTCTAATAAAAAAAATTGTCTTGTAGATTGCGACGGTTTATAGTAAACCCGTCGCAATGCTGAAAATTTTGCGACGGTTTATGACTAACTATCGCAATGTTAAAAAAAATTTGCGACGGTTTATGATTAACTGTCGCAATGTTAAACAAATTTTACGACGGTTTACGATAAACCGTCGCAATGTTGAACAATTTTGCGACGGTTTATGATAAACTGTCGCAATGTTAAACAAATTTTGCGACGGTTTTGAAAAACTGTCGTATGAAGGGTCGCAATATCAAAGCGACGACGGTTTCTAGATAACCGTCGCAATTTTTCCGTCGCAATTTATCATTTTCCTTGTAGTGACAAGAAAGAGTGAATGTAAAATGAATGTGAATGTAGAAGATCAATTGTATTGATTTCAGAGTATGAGAATTACACCAAACAATGATTGGACGATCGTGTAGACTATTACATCGATGTTTGTTAGTTCTATCTAGTTAACTCATACAACTGTCTCATATATATATATATATATATATATATATGTGTGTGTGTGTACA